AAGTTATAAGAAAAGAACAATTGTGTCTGCTTAATTATTATAATGGATCCATCATTTTGTGTAAAAAGGATGCAGAAATTGGCTAAGGATTCGCTTCAGTGTATGGTTATTGAATGTGTCATATAGGGTTTTCAAAAAGTCTAGAAACTCTAAAATATTTCGAAAACGATCAACTCCTAAAAAATATATAAGAGCAAAGTTGTAGGATTTCAAAAAATCTACCTAACTGATAATAAGAGGTTGATCTTGGGTGGAGTCTGCAAGGTCATATAAAGGTCAAGTTGCATTTTTTAAATGGAACTCCCTATTTTTCATTGCATATTTTTATAGCACACCTCGAGAGCTTTTCAAAACACTGTAATAAAATAATTTTTCATGAAGTATTTTTCGAGTTATAAGGCATGAAAGTTACAGTAACGCTTGGCATTACGCAAGATGTCCGACCGACGGCTAAAAGATATATAAGAGTAAAGTTATAGGATTTCTAAAACCTTTTAAATATCGTTCAGGATCATGTTCTGAATAACATTTCTCAAAATCAAGGCCAGTGGAGGTTATACCTCTTATTTTCATTTTTACGTAAAAATGAATTTTTAGTGCAAAAATGAAAATAAGTGGGATAATCTCCAATGGCCTTGATCTTAACAAATGTTATCCAGGACATGATTCTGAACAATATTCAAAAGGTTTGAGCCGTCCATCAAACACCTTGCGTAATATTAATGCCAGCGATACTGTACTTCAAGCCTTATAACTTGAAAAGTACTTAATAAAAAAATATTTTATTATAGTGTTTTGAAAAGCTCTTGAAATAAGATATAAGAATGTGTAATAAAAAGAGGGGAATGTCTCCTGTTTAAAAAATTCACTTGACCTTCATATGACCTTGCAGACTCCACCTAAGATCAACCTTTTATCATCAGTTAGATAGATTTTTTAAAGTTCTACAACTTTGCTTTTATATATTTTTCACTAGAGTTGATCGTTTTCGAGATATTTTAGCGTTTCCAGACTTTTTGAAGACCCTGTATAATCTATCACAGCGCATTGCACACACGATGATATTGCACACAGCACGTTACACACATGACAGTGTTGCATACAGCGTTAAGCCCATAACAGACTAAAGATTGAGATTGAGATTGCATTCGAATTTGACCAATCAAAGCAAAATTCACTAAAGTCGATATTGGTTTACTTTTTGCTGCTTGGTTAAATTCTAATCCAATCTCAATCTCTATCGCTATCTCTATCTCTAGTGTAATTCGGACTTTAGGCAAATAGTACCCTCTCCGCGCTCGCACGTGTGTGTGTGTGTGTGTGTGTGTGTGTGTGTGTGTGTGTGTGTGTGTGTGTGTGTGAGAGAGAGAGAGAGAGAGAGAGAGAGAGAGAGAGAGAGAGAGAACATCCGTAGATGACTGTGTGCGTGTTTGATCTTTGTAACTGATAATATTTGAATATGTAAATATATATTTTATATATATAGTTCTATAAACAACAAAATTCGCTTTGTCAGAAAACAGGATTCTTTCTTTTATTTAATTCTAAATTTGATTTATTCTCACTAGTCTAAATCTTATTTATAATTGTTTATACACTTGTTCTTGAAAAATGATTTTCTCTTACTAGTTACTAGTTATTGCGACAAATATATCTCCACATGCCTCAATAATCGAATTAGTAAGACTCCAGTACAATGTGACAGGGATCTAATTCTGAACCCCCACTGAAGTAATATTTTTCATAATAAATTGTAGGCAATGTTTTAAGATGTTTATTAGCATCATTATTTAATTGACGATTAATGTAATTTGTTATTTCCAAATTTAGTTAATGTTTACTTTTTAAGTGACAAACTAAATTAACGCGTAATTTATAGAATTGAAAAATATCATTGTAATTGAATAGAATATTCATAGCGCATGTGCATACAAACATCAAGCATCATATCCGTTTGGATAAAAAATAGGATACTTTATTTCATTTGATTTATATTTATTGATCTAAAATTTGTTAAACATTTTTTTCTTATTTGAATATGTATACTATACACATAACATTTATAAATTCGTTATACTTTTAAAAATGTGGAAAATAGAATGTTTGTCATTTAAATGTAAAAATATAAAAGTAAGAATATAAGCAAAAATAACGCTAAATGCAATATGTTTAAATTTTTAGGTATAATACAATGTGGTATTTAGCTCCATTATCAATACAAAGATTGCTTCTATTTGTGATGCAAAATTCTCTGAAAACTCACACGCTAATAATTGGTCGTATTTATGTATCATCTCTAGAGGGATTTTCTACGGTAATAAAAACTTTGTAACGAACTAATTGTCTGGGAAAAAATTTATTTTATCTTCTTTTTCCTAGGGATTGGATATATTGTATTTAATATATATTTAAAAGACAATAATGTCATATAACATTGTTTGTAACGATCAAAACTTTATGAATGCGATATGAAGATTAAAATACTTTTTTAGCTTATAACTACAGCAATATCATACTTTACTGTAATATATACCACAGCCATGAAGTAACACACAAAAAATTGTAATTGGTTACAGAAATTTTAATATAGTAATACTGATTGTAGAAGATAATTAATGATTTCGTGGTACGTAATTATTCACTTAAACGAACATTACATTGTCTTGATCATTATATTATTATATAAAATTAAACATATATATGCTGTAATACATATTGTGATATTAACATTAACATGTCAAAAATAATTTTGATTCCTAGCACTGACATATAATCAATATAAAACCGAAATCATATACCAGTAATAAGCATTGATATGATTTGTTTGAGAGAATCAATAAATAAGGTTTGTTAAAATGCATCATTATACATAAATATTTTACAAGTATTTTTAACATGTAGTTATCTAAAAATGATTATAGGCTCCTTTTTATATATAACAGAGATATATAATATTACATGTATACGTCTATAATTAAAATTTAGAGATATATTCAATTATGAGTATATTTAAAATTTTTTAATGTAACTTGTCTTTTTATTTTAACAAGTAGTAGAATTTAACTGGATTTAAAAGCACGTAAAAATGAAAATATACATCTTGAAATACATGAATAGAATTATTGAAATATATAATATTATATAAAGTAAAATATTGTCGTTGTCGTCTTGTACAACAATTCTTTCTCTTCCCTTCTATCTGTCTTTCTTCCCTCTTTTGTTGAATTTTATATAAGAACATACAAAATTAATGATAAACGAATTTTATGTTTACGTAATATGTTGTGGTACATTTCTCCATTATCATCATAAAAAGTACATTTATTTTTAATGCATCATACAATAAAAAGTTTTATATCAGTACTCCACAATATATTTGTGGCAACGTTGGAAAGTTAATTGCCACGGTGATATATGCATATAACAATGAAGGAGGTAAATTATATAAAAACAAAGATTACGAAATATTTTAATAGAAGCTTTAATTTTTGTCTAATTTCCAAAATTAAATCTACTCAGTAAATAAGAAACATTTTGTGTACACATTTTAGTATACACATTTCTTATATTAAATTATTTTTTTTTTTTATTCCTTGCTTCTTAGTTTGTATTTCTCTTATTAGATTGTATTTGATTACTTATTCCTATTACATTTTTACATTATATTTGTATTATTTAACAATTATTTTTGTCTGTAATCTACATACATAAACCAGAGTAATACATGGTTAATGATTACACATTTTTATAATATTTACTTCATACTGAGCAAGATTGATAATATTAATACTGCAATTAAGAGCGAATTATAATTTATATATATATATCTATCTTATCTTTGTAATAATTCCACTGTTATTTTTGTCAACATTGATAATGATCCAACAGGGAACGAAACGTTTGTTTTTGTTTTGTTTATTGCCGGCAAATTAAAGTTTTATATTTTAACTAAATGACATGTTTATTTATTTATAACGGTTTCAAATTTTAATTTATAACGATTAATCTTAGGCTCGTAGCCCTTTTTCTTTCGATTTTAGAAATTACGAAAACTCATAAAATTGAACTAACAAACTGACAATGATTTCTCATATTATTTACGAGATAATGTTGAAATAAATACATATATTTCTTGTATTTAAACTGTATACCTATAACTGTGTGTGTGGAATTAATATTACCATAACTGAAAGTGATACGTTAAAATATCTACAGTATTTCTTTTTTACATCAAAACGACCTTTTATACCATGCCAAGTAATGTAGTCGAAAGGATTCTAACGTTCTAACGGGATAAAGAAGATCGCGCGCGGAGAACCGCCGCGCACTTTATTTATGTTGAGCAGGCTGTATCCCGGCCGAAATGTTTGTATTTTACTTTAACAAGCATTCGATTGACTCACGCAACGGTTCTCCGCACGTGCCCTATAATTGTGCTTAGACGTCTGAATCTAGTAATCAATATCGACTCTTGCAAAAGATAAATAAAGTATATGCATATAATGCATATAGTATATCATTCATAAGAGAAGATTCCTTTCGTGAAGCTAGATATCTAAAGTCTTGTACTATAAAGAATATTCAATTGATTTGAAATAGAATTTGTTTGTTCACTGAAGTCTGTCACACTGTGAATTAAACTACACTCTTGCACGAAGTTACTCCGAACTCCGCCGATCCAAACTATAAGAACGTAATGAGATGTAAATTTTCTCATAACATTGACAATTGTCGCAAAATAGTTTTTAATGTAGCACATGATTGTTTCAAATAATGGAACTATAGAATATTTGTTGTCACTGCGTAATTATAGAAAATTATTAAATTACATGATTGTGTCGTAATTTTTTTTGCCTTCAAGAGATATTTTGTGGGAGAAAAAGTATTCAGTATGCTTGATGATATTATCAACGATATTTTCCTTTGTAAACGTACTTTGTCTACTGACAATGAGTAAAATAGTATTTTCTGGCGAACGTTATTACAACATTTATCGGATTATGCTAACAGCAATTGGTTTATGGCCCTATCAAACACCGATTGTTATGCAAGTGCAATCTGTGTTCTTCCTTGGTGTATATTGTTTCACTCTTTTGTTTCAGGTATTTCTCGATCGTTATCTTCTTATAAGTAACGCTTTTTTTGTATAATTTTTTATTACATAAATTCGGTATATTATTACCATATTTATGTGTTGCAGTTTACAACTTTTTTAACAACGACGTTCAACTTGGAATTTATTTTTAAAGAATTTTCATATATTTTCATTACCATATTATATATCGTAAATTACAACTCTTATTATTTTAATTCTAAAGAAGTAAGTATTACTTTTCTAATTTTCTTTATAGCAAAGTATTTTGCAACCGAAGATTGTAATTCTCGTAGAAGAAATTTAGGAGGTTATAATTGTTTAATAATTGTTGTAACTGTTTAAATCATAGGTTAAATATTTGTTGAAACAAGTAAAAATAGACTGGAATTCAATCGAAGATAATAACGAAATTAAAATATTGGAGAAATATGCTATTGAAAATCATCTTGTATCATTAATTTTCGCTTGTAAGTAAATTATAAAATAAATTATACACATAAAATTTTTTAATATGTACGTCTCTGTTTGTGAAATTATTTATTTATGATAGTTAAATAAGAGTATATACTAAGGGTATATCTTGTTTTTTACGTTTTTAGTTACTGCCGCATTTAGTTTATGCTTTATTATAATTGTCGAATTAATACCGGTTATCCTTGACGCTGCCATACCGATGAATACATCTCGACTACGTAAAGTAAAGATAAACTTTGAATTTTTTATTGATGAGAAACAGTATTTTTATATTTATTTTATATATGAAATCATAACATTGCTAATTGGAATGCTTACGGTGCTTGCAACGGGATCATTATCATTAGCGTTTCTCAGACATTGTTGCGCCACTTTTAAAATCGCTAGGTAAGTGTGTATCTTTTAATTTTGATAAAAAGATTTATTAGATTGTTGACTCTATATCAATTATTTGCAGTAACGTAATCGAAAGTACAGTCACTAAACATACACTTCAAATTCCGGCCTATCGGAAAACACGCGTGATGTATCAGAAAATTAATCGTGCTGTTCATATTCATAGAAAATCTATTGAGTTAGTCTTCACTTACTTTACTCTTGTAACTACCATCTATTATACATGATGCACTTTAATCTTAATTTTAAAAAAAACACATTTTTTATGCTTTTATATATAACTCAAAGGTATGAATTAAATTTTTCTTCACTATTAAAGGTTTTCCACATTTTTTATGAATATTATGAACAAATGGTATTCCGCTGTAATGCTAATCAGCGTAATATCTTTAAGTTGCAGCCTTTTTCGAGTAAGTAATGTATTTCGAATATGTAACATATTTTTTGCATTTTACATTAAATTAAATTTCTGTTGATATTAATTTGTACAATAAAAATTAAAATATGTATATAATATATTTTTGTAGCTACTTAATGCATTAACAGTCTCGAACGAAATTTCCGAAATAACATTGTGCATGGGTATGGTAGGGTCTCATTTTATAGTCTTGTTTGCACCTAATTTCATTGGACAAACTCTTACCGATCATAGCGCAGAAATATTTAATGCTGCGTAAGTATTATATAAAGATTCTTATTTTTTATGACGAAATCAGTTCCTAAACTATTATGTTGTCCAAAAAATAACCATTAAATTAAATATTAAATTATAAGAAAAGGACAATTGTCTCGTCTTGAGTTTTATAATTGTTCCATCATGTTTAGTTGGATGTAGGAATCGACCTAGCTTCTAAAGGTGGGGTCCCACGGTCCGTGATTCGGCATGGTTCGTGATCCGTCTTGGCTCGCCTAGGCTCGTCACACGATCGGTCTTGAAATTGATATAAAAAATGCTAAAATCGCGGTCCCATGGCGCGCCGAGCCAGGCTCGCCATATGTCGAGTCATGGCTCGGCAAACCTTTATGATTTCTGATAGGTTGAAATTCTTATTCTCTGTTCTCTGTTCCTTATTCTTTTTATTATGCGGAGCCCCTTATGCGCCGTAGGTACAGAGTGGCTCGCTATTATTCGCGATGGCTCGCGATTCGTGATCCGTGGCTCGCTGGCTCGTTAAATTGTCGGTAACTTATCGCGAGTCAAAAGACAAGCCACGAAAAGAAAGGTTCTCACCAGCGCGCCTTGGCTACGAACAAAATAATAATAAACTGAGGAGGTAATCACTATTTAAAATATTGTCCCACTGATTACATGATTTCATTTGATTTTATATGATTTTGTCTAATTACAAATAATTTTTTTCACTACATATGAAGTCATTTGGTAAAATATACGATTTCATTTAATATTATACAATGATTTCTCATGATTGCATATGTAATTATTGGATTATATATAGAAATTTCATATGAATTTTATAATGATTTCGAGGACTCTATTCCATGATTACATTAAGTGGTTACCCCCTCGTATAAACTGTCGGGCCTTGGCTGTGAACGAAACAATAATAAACTGTCGGGCCTTGGCTGTGAACAAAACAATAATAAACAGAAACTGTCGCGTCGTTGTCTAATTTCTCTATGCGTGTCAGAACCTAATCATTATTGCTAATTGAGTGGTAAAGGCCTTTGGCTCGCGAAACTTACCGCTAATTTCTGAAAATGATGTATCACGAGTCACGGATCGCAAGCAATAGCGAACCGTCTTGGTTCCACGGCGCGTAGAGCTTTGCCGAGCCACACGGGCCGTGGGACCCCACCTTAAGGATTCACTTTAGTGCGTGATCATTAAATGAGTTAAATAATCTATTTTTTATATTTGATTAATGATGTTTCAGGAGACATTAATTGTTATTCTAGAATAATATACATAAATATTTGGCAGTAAATTATTTCATAAAATGAGATCCTGTTTTCAATAAAAGCAGATCTTGATGCTTGATCATTTTTATATGCAAAGAGTCTTGCTCTATCTATATGAAAAAATGTTTTTAATCAATTGAATTGATTTAGGAGGGCTCCATTTACCTACAAAATAATTGCCTACAGCTTCGTTTGCACACAATCATATTACACACAGCGCGTTGCACACATAACAATATTGCACATAGCATTAAGCCCATATCTACAAATTGATATTGAGATTGCATTAGAATTTGATCTATTAAAGTTTGCTAAAGTTTATAGTAGTTTCCTTTATTTTGATTGGTTATTCTAATCCAATCTCAGTCTCTGGATGCGGACTTTAGGCATTCTCCCACTCGTGTATGTATGTAGATATATATTTATATACGAATATTCATAGATAACTCTGTGATATATATATATAAGTATATGTGTGCGTGCGCGTATGTGCGTGTGTGTATGCACGTGCCTTTGTGTGTTTAAGATTTGAGTAAAAATTTACCTTTACACAGCTCGCTCCAAATAACTTCTCACTGACCTTGATGTTGACCTTGACTTTCAAGGAAGTCAAGGTCATTGACCCTATCTGTCGCTCATTATTCATTAAAAATTTATGAAAAAACAATTTTTATCAATAGTTCATAATTTCCAAACACATTGATGGTATAAAGGGACCGTGTAAGAGAGACTGGAATAAGATTTTCTACTTCAATTACACAAATTTTTTGCTTTAAAACTGCATAAATTATCTGCTTTAAACACACAAATTTTCTGCTTTAGCAATGAAGCAAAAAATTACGTATTATTCATAACCATTATTTTGTTCATGACTTTTTGATGAATAACGAGCGACAGAAAAGGTCAAGGTCAACATCAAGGTCAGTGAGAAGTCATTTGGGGCGGGCTGTGTGTGTGTGTGTGTGTGTGTGTAAAGATAAACTTTTTATCTCTTGAAAAATGACTTTTTCTTTCTAATTGCTAGTTACTGCGACAAATATCTCCACTAAATATTGGCAAAATTGTATAAAAATTTATAACTCACCCGCATACGAACATCAAACACCACGTCCGCATTGACAGGAAATAGTATTTTTTTTTTATTTAATTTATTTTTATATCTAAAATTCATTAAAAATTTTTTCTTATTTGAATCTTTTTATGTACTTGTAAAATCGTTATATTTTTAAAATGTATAAAGTAAAAGTTGCGTTTATAATTCAAATGTAAATGTATATAAGCAAAAATGTCATTCATAAATAATGCTAAATATAATATTTTTTGTAATTTTTAGGTATAATACTTTGTGGTATTTAGCCCCATTGTCAATACAAAAACTACTTTTATTTTTGATGCAAAATTCTCTGAAAACTCACACCCTAATAATTGGTCATTTTTATGTAACCTCTTTAGAGGGATTTTCTACGGTAATAAATACTTTGTAGTGAACTAATTGTCTAGGAAATAATTTATCTTATCTTTTTTTTCCTAGAGAATGGATTTATTGTATTTAATTATTAAAAAGAAAGTTTATTAAAAAGACAATAATGTTACATTATTTGTAACAATCACAGCTTTACGTTTGCAATATGAAGATTAAACTATTTTTTTAGCTTATAACTACATCAATATCATACTTTACTGTAATATATACTACCACAATGAAATAACACGGAAATATTTTAATTGGTTATAGAATTTTTAATGTAGTGATACGTATTGATTAATGAAGATAATTAAGAATTTCTAGGTACGTAATTATTTGCTTCAAATCAAATGTAAACATCTTATTATTATACAAAATTTAAACATGCTATTTTTTAGCATTAATAACATGTCAAAGTAATTTTGATTTCTAGCACCTGATATATACTACATACAAACAGAAATCATATATCACTATGAAGCAACGATGTAATTTATTTAAGGGAACATTGAATCAACAAATAAAATTTATTAAAACATATTTCATTATGCATGTGTTTTTATGAGCACATTTTCGACATACAATTAACTTAAGATGATTAAACCTTTTTATATATGTATGAAAGATATGTATAATTATATATATATATATTATTTATAAAAAATAATTATATATATTTACATATTTAACAATTTAGTAGTTTGTATCTTATTTTAATGATAGACATACATACGTCACACACAAACATTTAT